GGGGGGGGGGGGGGGGGGGGGGGGGGGGGGTTCACAGGGGCTTATTATCTTTTCAGTTATAATTATAGTGCCTGATGAATGGTGTAACATAACTAGCTATCTTAAGCACAGTAAAACAACAGAAAAAGATGAAACAGAAAGAAGCATGATTATCCATAGTATAATGAAGCATTATCAACAATCTCAGTTTATATTAAACTGCATACTTAAAAAGCAAATTAAATGGAACAACCATAAGGTTCAACATTCCTCGTGAATATATGTCCTGGAGAATGGAAGATATGATCTAGACATTAATGGCTTGTGCAGTAAGTTGGAATGCACAACATTAGACAATATTACATAACAGAAAGATGCTAAATCTTGTCCACTGTGCTGTCCAACCCTGTGTAGTACTGCTTACCAAACATGCCAAAGTAATTGATATCCTTATTCAAGCATGATGATCATTTAACTAATTTAATTACCAAAAAGATAATTAATCTTAAATATAATGAACTCTCTCTTTATGAACTTCAAAACAACTCATCTCAGATGATGCTGGCCAAATTTATATATCATAATTAACAATATGCTATTGACATCAAAATGCATTACAACTACATCCGCACGGAAAACCAAATATAATGGCCCAAAATTTATGAATTAGAGATGTCTAACTTAAAATCAATTAAAGCACAAGATATAAAAAAAACTTTTTCATCTCTCTATCGACTTTTAAGATACTTGATGTTTGGAGATACGATTCAATTCTCAAAAGTTTTTAACTCTTATTTTAAAGATAAATGTGCATTCACCATCAAGAATCCTACTTGAAAAGGACAAAGTGTAATTACAGAGTTAAGACCATATCAACTCGTAGAACCTCTACAGTTCATTGTTCTGATCAACAGGAGGTACAGGGCTATATGTTTTCCAAACACCACAAGACTCTATGCATTTTTTGAACAAATTACCTAGTTCTAGATTTGAGTACTTTAACCAATCTAACCCACTATATTTAGTATATTTTCTCTGTCATTGAGTAATCAACCGATCGCGGGCCATAGAAATCAAACTGCATAATACTAATCCTAGCAAGCTACTTTCAGCCTTCATAGAAATATGATCCAAAATTTAAAAAAAAAAAAAAGTTTCTTAATAAAGTTGAACTTTAATTAATTTCTTCTTAACATGAATACTGTCCTAAAAAGCAGGCATTCTTGATATCATATGGCATCAATCTTGCACTATAAGATAACATCAGAAAAGTGAAAAAAAATAAAGAAACAAAATCGCTTAAAAACCTCAAACATTCGCCCGAAATTTGGAGTAGGACAAAACAAGATCTTATCCTTCCAACCCATTTATAGAACTTCAAGCCACTGATTCCGGATCCTATGCAAAAAAACACCCACAAAATCAAATACTCAATAGTTACGATTGATGAAAGTGGAGAATAAATACAAATAAGCATAAAGATTCTATCCCCATTGTATATTAGCAGAATATTTATCCTAATTACGTGCTTCAAAACATAACGATATAGGGGAAACAAACCTTACCTTCGAGATATGCCACTGGGGACTAAGTCACAAAAACCAAAATTTCTTGGCTTATGATTATCTCAGAGTTTAATAGAAGCCCAATTTCATGAAAGTGATGACAAGAAAGAAGATTATAGAGGGGCAAGAAATGGTGGGAGTTGCTGGGGCTGGGAGTTGACTTTGAATTTATATAATGAACGGAACAGGTGACAGCGGTTGTATGATTTTTGGTCACCAATATTTTTCATAGGATTAATATCATTTTTGGTCACGGAATGATATTGTGAAATCTCAATTGGTCGTCTAACTTCATTTCTTCACAATCATTATCCAACTTCAATTTACTTTCAATATTAGTTAATCAATTAAGCCCCCCATTTGGCGAAAATAAAGTAGGGCTGGGCTGACTCAGGCAACCATCCCTATCTCTGTACCGCTGGGGATTTTCATAAGGAGGGAAAGAGGTGGAAAGGTAGGATCATGATTTATATTCAATCTATAAATTATAATGATCTGGAAGTCATTGAATTTGATTTATATGTACCTAAAAAGGTTTTTAAAGTGGTTGATAAATCGGATCAAATCATTCCAAAACATACGAAAGAGTACGATGATGAAGATAAAAGAAAATTATTATTGAAAGTTATAGCCAAAAATACATTTTATTGTATTTTAGATAGAAATGAATTTAATCATATTAGCAAATATGATTTCGCTTTTGATATTTGAGATGTCTTAGAAGTTATTCACTTGGGCACTAGCAAGTAAAAGAAATCAAGATAAATCTATTGATCAAGGAATTTGCGTTTTTTATTATTGATACGATTACTTATTTTATCGATATTGTTAATGGCCTCAAAGGCTTCGATCAAAAAATTACTAACGGTAAACTTTTGAGTAAAATGCTTATATCTCTCTTGGAGGATTGGAACTCGTTGAGAATGTCAATAGAAAACATCAAAAATATCAACGCATATATATATTGAAAGAACTCTATGTAATATTGATGACATATGAGCTAAATTGTACCGAGACAAAGAAAAAACAATGAAAAGCAAAGAAAAAGAAAAACGCCAAATTGTTTTAAAGTCGGTAATGAATGAAGGCACTTCAAGCAAAAATATGAATGGCGAGGAACTTGATATCTAGTTCTTCTTGTAAAAAATTGGAAGAATCTTCGCAACATTTGACTATTCAAAAGAAAGTAGAAAATGATGAAGAGAAAAACAATAAGCTTGTTTTCTATGATTATGACATACTAAGTCATAAGAATATCGATTATTCGAATAAGAAGAAATTCTTCAAAAAGAAAACACTCTAAGACACATGGGATAAAAGTGACGATGATGATCATGAAGAAAATGAAAATCAAGATAAAGTTGTCAACACGTGCTTCATGGCTATTGAAAACGTGGTAAATACAAATAAAAATTATTCATATGATGAATTATCTACCTTTTATAATGAAATTCTTTAAGAATTTGAGAAACTTGCTCTAAATCATTTTATTCTCGAAAGGAAAAATTATTTATTGGAAAATGAGATAAATAAACTTTTGGAAGCTCAAAATGATTTTGAAAAAAGAAAAAGTCAATTACAATTCTTTAATTAAAGAGAATTCTTCTTCACAATAATTATTTTTTAGATTTGACTCAATTTGTTCACAAATTTGCTCAAGGCAAGAAAAAATTTGATTTAATACTTGGTAAACACAAATATGTTTTTGATAAAGCAGGAATTAGATAGAAATATTTTTTTAAAACAAAAGTCTCTCAAAAATATACTTTGTTAAAGCCTCTACTTTCCCTATTTCAAATGTCACATGTAATTTTTGCAATAAAAATGAGCATGTGACTTTTAATTGTTCACTGTAAAAGAGATTGTACTTAGAGGACATCTACAAGTGGATTCAAAAGTCCACTAACACAAACTATTAAGGATCCAAATTTGTATGAGTACCAAAGAGCAAAAATCAAATTATTTTTGTAGGTGTCAAAGAAAATAAAAAGCAAATGGTTTCAAAAAGAAGGATGGTGACATGTTAGTTTTGGAGATAATGTCAAAAGGAAAAATCATTGGCATTGAAAATATTGAAAGTGTTCTATTTAGTTGATAACCTCAAACATTCTTGCCTAGTATTTATGTGAAGAAGGTTATCATATCAAATTTGATTCTTCTAAATACTTTATTGAGGATTGTTGACGTACAAAATGTACAACCCAATTTAAATGGCCCAAGAAAGGAAATAGCCCAAAAGAAGAAACACATTTAGAGAGATCATGGTGAAAGCCCAACCAGAAATATCATTAAATATGATAAAAGCCCAAAAACAAAGGAACGTTGTCGCCCAAACTTGCAGAACGCCCAGAGCCTGAGCGAATATAATGCCCTGTAGTAGCCCAAGAACTACGAGTCCATCATCGCCCAAACGATTAAGTCGCCCAAGGTCCCAGTGAAGACAACGTCCTGTCATTATCCAAGGCAGCGGTTTCAAGTAGTTCATGCCACACCACGGTCTAAGAATCTCAATGGTATGGAGTCGTGTGGTGACAGTTATAAACGGCAGTTTTTGACGTGTTGGCCATGATAAGGAAAATGGGTGGTTTCAAGCAGTTTCTAAGTGATTAAAAACTGCCCAAGCCGTATAAAAGAAAGAAGAAGACAACAAAGAAAGCCCCGACAAAATTCACTCTCAAACAGAAAACATGTAATTTACTTTTCTTAGATTAATTTTAATTACTTCAATTCCCTTGTAGTTGTTTGCTTGCGCCCCTTGGAGGCATCTTGTTCGTGTTCAAACTGCAATCTTCATATTCAATAAACACCCATTTTTGAGACTTTGTTCCAAGAGATTTGTCCCTTACACAATCGTCTGATCCCTTTTAATTGTTAGCGAGTAAACCCGTGCGAAACAATTTGGCACGCCCGATGGGACACTTGGTGTTTGAAGATGCAAAAAGAAAACATTATGCCTGATAAAAGTTCTGATAAAACATCAGCAAGTCACGGAGTAGTCCAGTCTGTGATTGAACGATACGAAGAACAACAACATTCTCCTCAGATAGAAGGGCAGACTCCAAGCAGTCACAGTCATTATGAGCCAATGATAGAGTTGAGTCCTCGAACCATGCGTGCATTGCTTGGAGAACTCACACAAGATGTCGTTGAACAGGTAAATTTACGAAACGTCCATAATATGGAAAAATTTACCTATAGTGGAAATGTTCACTATGATAACATGGCCAAACAATTAAGTGTTTTAAATGATCTTATGAGCAAATTAGTAGGCCAAATATGTCAACCAGTCATAGGAAGTCATTTCCAGACCAGGGCGATTGTGGGACATGCTTCACCACACAATTCCCCTTATTTGAACACAGGTCCAGGTCTAGAAATATTTTTCGGCCCTTCCACCTCAAATCAAGGGGTTAATGGAGCGCCAAATTTGAATGGCGATAATGTGACTACCAACTTGGGGGGTAATCTAAACATAAGAGATAATGTTCTGAATGGTGGACATAATTTACCTCGTGTTAATGAGGGAGTAAATACTCAATATAATGGGTATAATGGTCTGAACAATGGCACTTTCCCTGTCAACCAAGGACCAAATATTAGGCCGCCTCAAGTAAACAAACAAGTGAACCAACCCATAGGAGTCCCATATGATCCAAATGCTTTACTGAGGAATCAAATTGCAGAAATAGTACAAGATCAAATGGCTGTTGGGGTACGTCCTGTTATCAGGCCGACTTACACTAAACCATATCCTGATTGGGTAGTTCAAGCATATCCATGGCCTAAAGGGTATAAAGTGCTCGAATTCTCATTGTTCACTGATTTAGGAGAAGTGTCTACTCTGGAACATATAGGACGATTCACATTACAGAGTGGTGAGGTGACCGACTACCATAAAATGAGACTATTTCCTAGTTCATTAACAGGAGTAGCCTTTTCATGGTTTATTAACTTGCCAGCAAATTCCGTTCAGACATGGTGACAAATGGAACAGTTGTTCCATGCTCAGTTTTATAAAACAGAATCTAAGGTTACACTGGCCGATTTGGCGAACTTACGTTAAATGTCAAATGAATGGGCAGAAGGCTTTCTTCAAAGGTTCTAAACAGTCAGGAGTAAATGTTTTGTACCTCTGCCTGAAAAAGAATTTGTCAAAATCGCTCAAAACTGTTTAAGTTTTGATTTAAAGAAAAAGTTCCAAGATAGGGAGTTCCCTGACTTGTTCCAACTTAGTGCGAACGTAATTAGGTACGAACGTTGGTAAGAGAAGAAGAGCAAGTAAAAAATTCTAGTAAAGGGACTTATTACAAAGACCCACACTTTGGTGTTCATACTATAAATGATGAATTTTACGATCAAACTGAAATATGTTTGGCCGAACTGACCAAGGGGGATGCATATACTTGTCCCATAATGGCTAAAACGTTCTCGTTCGACGTGAAGAAAGCTGACCTTATATTTGATAAATTGTATAAGGATAAGCAGATAAAGCTGAGCGATAAACATAAGTTGTCAGCCCTGAGCAAATTAAGGGTAAAAAATATTGTAAATGGCATAATGCATGGTCACATATGACTAGTTATTGTCTGGTTTTCCGTCATGTTTTGCAGGACGCTATTGAGTCAGGACGAATCACGTTCGAAGACAAAAAGAAGATGGCAGTGGATGAAAATCCTTTCCCACATCCACTTGAGGTGAATATGGTGACGATGAAAAATTTCCTTTGAAGCATCTTCCCAACATCCGGTAGA